CATCGAGCCCCGGTTGGTTGGGTTCGAATCTCCCACTCGACAAGCTCCTTGGATCCTTTTTCTCACAATCATATTTTTGACTAGAATGCCTACGCCTCTCCAAACTAAAATAGTTAAAACACTGTAAATGCGGATCCAGATAACTACTGAGTCGTTCTCATTTTTCTCTGCTCCAAATCAGATTTTATTCTCTAGGCTATACTTTGCTAAAAATTGAGTCGAATTTCCAGATCCTATCGATTTTTTCCAGATTCCAGACCCGAGTCCCAAAAATTCCTTTCAAATTCTTTCGTTCGCTTTGCAATTAGTACCTGAACACTTTTTACCTTTTACTTACATATTGAAACTAGACTTTAACATTCCAAGTTCGGCAACATTCTCATTTAAATCCTCAACATTGTCAGCATCGTGAACATCCAAAAATTCGATTTACTCAATCAATTCAGAATTTCTCATCGATTAATCTCGAATCTCGAGGTGAAACGGTGCCAATTCCGGCGTGTGACTCACACGGCCGTGGGTGAAAATTGGGAAGACCGGGTGATTCACCGATCCCATTTGCATGCACACGGTGAGAATTCCCTTGTCGATACAGTTTCTCTCGTTCTTCTCCTTTCTTCTCCTTTCTTCTCCTTTCTTCTCCTTTCCTCTCCTTTCCTCTCCTTTCCTCTCCTTTCTTCTCCTTTCTTCTCCTTTCTTCTCCTTTCTTCTCCTTTCTTCTCCTTTCTTCTCCTTTTGGTATTCCCATATCGATTCGATTCGGAATCACGATAAGGCGCGACCCCCTTTTGGTTGAATGACTCGATCCTTTCCTTTTCTTCACTTTTCTTCCTACCAGCCTTCACTATAAAGAAATTTCTTGAGATTTTACCTTCTTTCTAAATTTTTTCCCTAAAAGTTGCTCCTTGATCTAGTAATATTTATTACTAGATCAAGGAGCAACTCCCTTGATCAGCAACCTACTTCCACATCCCAAGCCATTTAAATCTGTTTTCTAATTAAGTCTTTATTGATTAGGCAAGATTAAGTTCTCTACAGTATTGCAAAGATACCGTAATCCGCTCGACTTGGAAACTTGGACTTGGGCTTGGAAACTTTAAACCTACCATACTATTTGTAAGCTAAAATTGAATATCTTTTGATGTTCAAAGCAAAACCCAACAAATGGGGCAGCGAGCGGAAAAACGTAGCTATTTGTAAGCTAAGAGATAGTTAAGATTTTAAAATTAGCTGCTTTAGTAGCTTTATGATTAATTTATTAATAACATTATCTGGTTCACTTTCTGGATAACTTGGATACTTTTAGAAGTATTCTTTTGACTGAATGAGGAAATTCCCTACTTTCTAGCCTCGATTCCAGGCTTGCAAGCGGAAAAAAAAAGCGGAAACTTTGAATATCTTTTAATTTTCAAAGAAAAAGTGAACAAATCTCCATTTGTTAATAATAAATTAATAATAAAGCTACTAAAGCAGTTAATTTTAAAATCTTAACTACCTCTTAGCTTACAAATAGCTACGTTTTTCCGCTAGCTGCCGCTAGCTGCTCTTCCGCTTTTTCCGCTAGCATTTGTTGGGTTTTGCTTTGAACATCAAAAGATATTCAATTTTCCGCTCTTTTCCGCTCTTGCAAGCCTGTTCAATACGCTCAAAGAAGCTTCTTTGAATCTTTTTGAAATCTTTGAATCTCTTTTGAAACTTGTACTTTTCTAAATCTTCCTTTTCCATTCCTGTTTCCTCAATTTCTCCCATTTATACCTTTTCTACTCAATTGAGCATTCTTCCTCTCTACTTGATAGATAGCTTCGTTTTTGTGAGGGAAACAGTTTTCGAAGTTTTCGAAGTTTTTGAAAAATTTTCTGAACAAGTGGAATCGTTGAAAGTTGAACGACTCCATTTTACGCTTACAGTACTACCAGTAGAGTTTAGAGTTAACTGAATACCTTGAGTGCCATTTAAATACCGTAATCCTCAAGTCGAGAATCGTTTTCCTATTTTGTGACACAATTAGAGTAAACTTTAGCTGTCCCTTGCGTACTGCAGCCAAAAACATTGCGTACTCTGCCCTCAGAAGCATCCTGGGGTTCAATAAATTGAATAAATGACTTCATTCTAGCTAGCTTTGAGACAATTACCGTACTCAACTTCACAATTACCGTACTCAACAATTACCGTACTCAACTAGATTTGAGACAATTACCGTATTCAACTAAATATTCCAAAGTTCATCATCCCCCGCCCGTCTTTTATTTTTTCATTATTCCAATATTTTCTTGTATATCCAAGATAAACACTTTTTTTTTCTTTCCTTTCAATTGTCAATGCTTCTTTTGCTTTTCAAAATCTTTCTAATGTTATCGTTCAAAAGCAAAAACATTGTCTTTTCCGTCTTTTCTCGTGACTCACCCGAAGATTCCCACTTCTTATCTACCGCTCGAAATTTCCGGGCAACAAAGCCAATTTTTCGAGGTCATTCCAACCCCAAGTCGCACATAAATCCAGATTGAATCTCATTTTTTTCCACTTTTCCCTCAAAAACCCTTTGCTTTTTGAGATTCGGTCTTTTTTTTATGCTTTTAATCGATTCATCAACTAGAGCGAACAAAATTAATTTGCGGACTCAAGCTTTCCCAAGATTTCTATTGCGTTTTCTATAAATTAATGCTACAGTAGGCTCTACGACTACGGTATAAACTATATGGATTACTGTAATTGAGCTAACGGCTATGGTAGCCGTTACAGGCTATGGTATCCGTTACACTTTAAACCGACCCAGGTTCTGAAAAAGGTTTTTTAAATTCATTTACATAGTCAAACTAATAGTAAGGCCAGATATTTTCTTTCTTTTCCTTCTTCCCATCTCTCTATTCTGGGGTTCATAGATGCCCTGGGACATTTGCAGAGGGATAATCCCCCGATTTGCATACACTAGCTGACCCCATCCAATGACAGGCCAGGGTTTTTTTTACCTAGGAATAGATCGGGTCAAGTGCTTTTAAATAAATGAGGATAAATTTCATAATAGACCTTTCTGTCTGTCTATCTTTCTGTCTGTCTTTCTGTCTGTCTATCTGTCTGTCTTTCTGTCTGTCTATCTGTCTGTCTGTCTTTCTGTCTGTCTTTCTGTCTGTCTTTCTGTCTTGAAACTGGTTACGGTAGAAAGGCTATAAAAGAAACTGTCATTGTCTTTTCATCTCAAAGTTCTTTTTCTATTTAGCACTAACTTTTGATAAGCATGTCTATTTATAGAGGAACCAATCTTACTCAAATTCCCAAGAATTACCAGTCTTAGTGACAACCTAAAGAACTTGCCTAAAGCCCTGACAGCCTAGAGAACTTGATTTGCATTCAAATGGATAACCTTTAGCCCTACCCAATCCGTTGAGCATTTCCCGGTTCGATTTCACTCTTTGTGAAAGCTTTTGATTCTCTTGATTCGCCCCGTTGTGGGATCAGGTGAACGAAGAAAGAGAATTGAAAGAAAGAAAATGAAAGCGAGTCCCTACAATGGGTCGAAGGGTTCCTGGGACCTGGGAGAGACTGGCGGAGTGACCGGTCCTCAGCCTCTTCCCCAGTCCACCCCCCTCTTGGGGATGACCTTCACCTGAGCTCCGCACACCCGCCAAAGAGAAAGACATACCTGGACACTCGTCCCATGAACCAATCTATGCTCGTCTCAACTCTCCGCGTTCTCCGTTCTCGTTCATTTCTCCCTTTCCCTATCCTGCTACACCCCTTTTCTATCCACACTTCATATCCCAATTCCTCTCTCGTATCCCAATCTTTCTTCCCATTCCCTTTCCCCAAAAACCCCGCCCAAAACCGCACACACAACGCCGTGGGGCGAATTGACGGCGCGCCCCTCTCCCCCGTCCGTTTCCCCCCGTTATCCCTTGGCCTCTATCCTTTTTTTTGGGACACACACTCGTTTTTTTTCTCTTTCTCTTGCGCTCGAGCAGTTGTGAATAAATTTAGCAACTCTCACTTGCTTGGAAAACGATCTGCTTTCGGGATTCGCCTTTTTTCACCCCTTTTTTCAACTCTTTCCAGGCTTTTTTTTTCTATTTTTATTTAAACTTCTATAAGTTTAACTTGTTTTTTTGTAGTTGTTGGCTCACAAAACATACTCGTTTTATACAACTTTTGCAGAAAAATTTTGAAAGAGAACCTTTCAATAACGAGAAATACTTATACCGATGAATATATGCAAACTTTTAGTCCAAATTGGCATGCATATTGAGAGCTGGTCAAAACAGCGCCGTTGACAAATAGCGCCGATCAAAATAATGCGTTTGCTATTAAGTTTATTTGTGTTTCTTATTCTCATTGGATGTAGAAAAAAATTAGCTATCTGCTGAATTTTTTGGAGCTGTTTAGAATCAATCTGGGACGAAAAAAAACGAAAAAAGGGCTAAAAAAGAGATTAACTCAGCTTTTCTCGATACCAATTCTGTTTTAAGTGATCCCAAAGTATGCAAAATGTAGATAATTTTATTCTGCATCCAAAAAAAAATAAGAAACACATAGAAACTTTACCGCGAAGGAGCCTTGAAGCTGTTTACACATGACGCTGTTTTGATCAGCTTCCTATAAATGACTGCTTACTTTTCAGTTGCTTAACTTTGCTTAACTTTTTCATTAATATTCATATCATTAAACTTATTTTAACCAATATAACTCCGATTCTTGAACGATACCCTATTTTCCTGTGTCACTATGCTGTTGCATTTCTGCTACCCTCAATTTTTCCCGCAAATATTGCCATTGGCAAGCATAAACCCTCTTGTATCTGGTCGATTTTGACCCATTTTTGACCCAGACTGTTTGATTTGTGATATCAAAACAGCATAAACTTTCAAGCCAGTCACCAATTTGCTCGTTGATCTGCGTTTATTGAATTTTCCTTGTTCTCGAAATTGCTTTCCATTCTTTTTCTAATTGTGTCTTTCTTGCAGAGTCCAACTCTCGTCTAGCGCCTTGCAAACGAAACCGGCGGCGCGACGATGTTTGAAAGTAGCGGCGGCGGTGCTGGCCGACGACGACCCACGCGATGGATCACCTCGATCACACTCATCGTCACAATACTTTCGTCGACGTTGGCCTGGAATCCCGGAGATCTCTCCTTGCCATTTGGACTCGACTCGAGCCTCGTCAAACCACGATTTTCGACATACGCCGGACAGAAAGCGCGGGATATCCATGTCTATGTTATGAAGAATATTTCGGAGAATACCCCAGTTGGCTACGTGCTTGATACTTTCAAAGCTCACGACAAGGATTTACCCGGATTTAATTACACGTTGGTTTTTTTGAGAATATTATTTAACTCTAAAGTCTGTCTATGATCGGGGACGAGAGATTGAAACTTATGAGCAACTTCTCTGATAGTAGATCTTTTTTAAACACGAAACCTTCTATCATCTAGGGCTTTAACTTCTCTGAATTGATTTTTTGGCAGGTTCAGACCTAAACTGAACGAACCATTTATCTTTTGATAGGCCTAAATTGAACAAACCTTTCATTACGAAGGTTTCCAATTTTTCTAAATTTAGCCTAATCTCCAATTTCTCCATATACAGCAAAATTTCACTATTGCATCCATGTTTATCGTGTTTCTTCTCGTTTCTAGTTGTCACTTAGTCGTTCCCTCTTTTCCTCTTTTTATCCTTTTCACTCTCCCGGATCTGAACGCGTATTCAATTTCGTCGCGTCAACATTGTTGGCGCCTCGGGGATCTCTATATGTATATTGGTGACTAGGTGAATACTTATGGATTCTTGAACCGGAAGTCCTTGAAAAGTGGATTGAAAGAGTGAAAAAAGTAGGAGGATGATTCTACGATTGTACAGGAACTTTGTATTCTAAATTTGAACGCAAATTTGCTCACGTGATTCTTGACTAGGAAGTCCTCATAATGTTATGTTCTTTTTCTTTTTATTGACTCTCAACCCCAGATGGCCTCTGGCCATCCATTATTGAATGCACAATGGCTACTGTTTGTTGAGTAATAGGTTTTATTTGTGACTGTGCAGAGAAAATGATCCTGTCATAAAAAGGAAGGAAACCGGGTTTGGTTCTTTTGGCCGAGAGATGAAATTTTTTGATATCATTTGTCGGGGATGGTTCGAGATAAGAGTGGATAAAACTTTAGGCTGCTTAACTTGACAGTTTTTGTTTCGTTTCAGTTTTCAAGCCAAGTTTTTGTTTCGATTTAACCATACGGGATGAAGATAATATCTCCGGATAAAATCGTGCTAATGTGACTTGACATACGTGGCGAGAGAACCCTGGATTCCCCCTCACTTTCTCTTCGCGTCATTTCGTGTGTCTGCGGATCTCGCACTCATCCATGTGCACACATCAAAGGAACTCCCAGTCTCTCTTTTTCTTTTTAGCCTTTAGCAGCACGCATTCGATTTGAGCTCTATTTACATATCTAGTTGGGCTAGCTATAAATCCTAGGGAAAACTTGTTGATATTTCGTAGTTCATTGGAGAAAATACTAGTATTCAATGATAATCGATTCTGCTAACACGTTTGTGTTTTTAAAAATCGAGCTGTTTACGGGTGAACCGTATTCAGGCTATAGCATGGAATAAGTACAGTAGGTACTTGTGCATTTTCTCCAAAAACAATACGTTTCATTTGAACGGAACAACTTTGTTGTGCACCGTACCATTGACCTTCTATGTTTGTGCTGTGAGAAAGGCGGGCAAGGAGGGCTCGAGGGGCACGCGAACACACCCCAAGAACCGAGGTCTTATCGCACTCCACAATAATTTCCGTGTGAGCGCAGCGGGCAGCCGACCCTGAAATCGTTATTGACCGAATATAGGTGGAGATTTCAACAAAATCTTCAACAAATAGTTTCAGTTTCGCGAAAATCTACCTGATTTAAAATTCCTCTACTTTAGTTCAGCTTTCATTTCGATTTTGATGACACCTAATGGATGCTCGGGGTCACTCACGGTCATCCAGTACCCCTAATTATAGTCCATTCACTCAGGTGTTCGGCATCCTCGAATCCATTGATGCGTGACGTGGGAACCTGCTGGGGAAAATCACCGACCTAAAGTCTTGATGTACTTAAGTTTCATAGGTCTGCTACTAGTTTTCCGCAGGTCCAAAATTGCTTGCAAAAAGTGCCTCTGAAAGAAAATGTATTTAGGAATAGTAGCCCCTTTCTCTGTCGTCTTTGACTTTACGCGAAGTCGAAGCGTAAACTAGATTTGAAACGTCGCGCCTTTTCGGCTCTCGACTAGTTTTTTAGAATCAAACAATCGAGGTTGAAAATCTCAGTTATCTCGTAGTTACGACATAAACTCAATGCGCATATGGTCCAGATGCTTTTGAAGTGATGCTGCATCATTGTCTTCTAGGTTCGCAAGAGATTAGCCGACCCTCGTTTTTGGGGTCACTGCCATATGTGTTGAAGAGCCCTCGGACATATCCTTTCCCTCTATTTTACCCGTTCTTCTAATGTTGCCGCCTAAAACCCATTCATCAACTAAAGAAGGGTTATTTGTCAGGAAATAAATTATCAGATTATCAAATATTAAATAAATATGGCTAGAAAAGTCTGAAATTTCTCGGTTACAAGGATTTTGACTAACTGCAACTTGGCTTTCAGCATTTCGGCGTCTTGGTGAGATGAGCATAGGCTATAATTACCAGTAGTTAGGTAGTGTCCCCCTCATTCCTAAGTGGCTATTTCCCGTGGGTCAATCCCCACGACTGGTCGTTTCCATTTGGACACTCGCATATGGCTAGATTCCTTGGATTACTCTTTAAGAGCTTTCCCAATTGACGACTAATTTGGTTGCACAACATCTTGACAATTGCAAAAGACGAGATTTTGCATGGTGTTTACCGAGAACTTTATGCTAGGAACCGAAAAGCGACTTTCCTTTCTTTTCCTTTAACCATCCATGTCGATGACCCTGACGATGGTGGCTCTATTTGAAAAGGAACCATTCAATTTTCACAAGCACCCATTCTCATGGTACCAAGGTCAAAGCGACCTCCTCCATCCATTCTAGGATACAATGAAAAATTTTCGTCTGCAAAGTTTGAATGAACTCGAGAAATGGTCGTAACAGTTTTAAAGAAAGAGTAACGATTAGTCAATGATGAGGGGCTCGGAATTGCGTCAATTGAGATAGACGCACCTGTCCCCTCTGAGTATTTGGGCACCAAGAGAAGTGACCGCATTTGGGATCCTTTTCCCACTCATCGATACCCTAGACCCAATCTCGGAAAGCTTTCGCCCTCTGTCTGCAATTTACAATTGGCTCAAATCCCCACAACTGCTCGATAATAACTGTCACATTTGCAACACTATAGGAGGCTCTTGGGAAGTGAAAAGATTTCAGTATCAAAAGCTATGAGAAAATCAAATTAATGTTTACTAAATGTTTGATTTAGATTTCGAATCAACCGAGAATCCGACCCGAAACGACAGTTTATGATCGATCAAGATGGAACACTAAAAGTAATTTTTTGGTTTTAACTTTTCTAAACTCAGCTTTAGGTAGCCAATCAATTGGATCGAGAGGACATTGCTGTGTATCGACTGATCGTTGAGGCTTTTGATACGGGTAGGTTTTTATTTATAAAGTGAGTGAATAAAGAGCTTATATACACAATGTACCCTATTTATTATCAATGCTCGTATTTTAGCTGGAAATGTCGGTTCGCAAATGGTGATGGTCTACTTGCAAGATGTGAACGATAACGGACCCGGTTAGTTTTAGAGAAATTTGAAGCAAAATACTAACTGAAAATTTTCAGTTCCGTACACCAACCCTGATCCATGCATTTTCATGGAGAACACCCCACCAGAGGCACAACCAGATTGCATGATCTATGCAAGAGATGCGGATACAGCGTAGGTTTTAAGTTTTGATTAAGTACTATTAGGTTATCACGAAATCTATGTTTTACATTGTTTAATTTTAGCGAGTATGGACCACCTTTCCGATTCGAAGTTAACACCGGGAAATTCAAATATCAACGCTATCTCAACATCGACTTTGATCCGCTCGGTGATGGAGGAAATGGTTCAATGATTGTGCGACCAACTGTGCAATTCGATAGGTAATTTGAAAAGTAAAAACTTTTCTAACGTTTCTTTTAGGGAAGCTGATGAGCCTGGGAAGATTTTGGAAATTCCACTTATTATCACCGACAAAGCCGGCAAAACGAACGAGCAAAGTGTCTTCATCATTATTGGAGATGAGGTTATTTTTATGACCGTTATTTGTTTGCTTTCTCTTTAGGCCTTTCACAAAACTAGTATCGGAAAGGTCTTTGACCGCAAATTATGGCAAATTTGCATAGGTCACGCGCCTAATGGATTGCAAATGCCCCTTGAATCTCTCTTTCCTCCTTTTTTTTGCCTTGTCCTTTAGTTCAAACCAAAAGAGTTAGTAAAGGTTTAATAAATTTTTGAAAATTGCGTAAAACCGATTTTTGCTAACTTTTGTCAAACGATTCAAGGTTTTTATTGAAAACTGCGAGAATATCTTTAAAATTAGAATAGGGCTATAACTTTTTGCACCCGAATGTGATTGGGCACTCACAGTCAGATTGAATGAGGAAAGGTCACACCATTCACAAAAGACGTTCCGGTCATTGAGTGTGCACAACATTGCCCATTGCAATTTTTGAAGGGTGCGACAATAAACGAAAAATACGGGTTCTAACCTTGCCTAATTGTGAAATTTCAGAACGATAATCCAATGCACGATGGCAGAATGACGATCACGGTGAATTCGTATTTGGGAAAACTCCAGAAGTCAGCTATTGGAAGGTATATTGTTGAAATGAAAATTTCTGTTAATGTTTTTTTTCTAGAGTCTACGTTGATGATAAAGACGATTGGGATTTGCCGGATAAGCGCTTCAGCTGGAAAAAGAGCGTCCCCGGATTCGACTTGAGCACAATGGGAGGAGAGGTAAAAAAGATGAATTTAAAAATTTAACGCCTATAATTTAGATTACAATGGATGGAGAGATGCCATCCGGCACCTACACGCTGATAGCCGAAGTGGTGGACACAGTGAGAAACGAGCGCGCAGAAGGAAGAGTTGATGTGACGGTGACGAAAGTGGAGCAAGTCGAATTCGACAGTCAAGGAGCCATTCAACTTCTCCTCTCGCACGAAACTGCCATTCAACTACCCAGCGACTTTATTCGGGTAAGTTAAGAGCTGAAAGTAGTCATAGGGTATTTTTAATTCATGATGAAATATAAATCCATCACATTACCATTGCTTCATTTATAAATTCTAGATGAGTGATGGAACATCTCCATTGGAAACTTTCCGAAGTGAAGTTGCTTCATACATTGGAGGAGGAGCCGGAGTCCACATCTTTTCGATTCAACTGGATCATGCCACCCTGCAAACAGGACCCCCAGTTCCTGTAGTGACTGTTCGTTTTGCGGTTTCTTCCGCCGGCCAATACAGGTATAATTTTTTTCACTTTTGCGATAATTCTCAAACTTTCAGAGATCCGGCCATGTTGCAAGGATTGCTCGCCTCTCATCGTACTCGTCTTCAACAAAAACTTGGAACGATCGTTGTTAGCGTTGGTGTCGACATGTGCAAGTTCACCACCTGTGACAATGGGTGCCGAACCGAAAATACTGCAACATTTGTGAGTTTTTGTTTTGCAATAATTGGCAGTAGTATGCTTGTTGGAGCTGAGACCTAAGAAATAAATTTTAGGAAGGAGTTCGTGTTGATGCTAACGCAACCGTGTTTGTTGGAGTCAACGCAAAGTCGACCGACAAATGTGAATGCCCTGTTTGGGACTCTCCCGCTCAATGCCGACATGGATTGTGCTACAATGGTGGTGTCTGCCATAACACTTACCCGGGATTCTTGTAAGTTTTGACTTTGTAATTAAAGCAAAAGAACATTAATGAACTAAATTTTCACCTCTGACAAATAAGTAATCGAAAAATTTTAGCTGTGAATGCCGAAATGACGCGGTGAAAGGTTTGCGCTGCCAAGGAACAACTCGATCGTTTGGTGGAAGTGGTTTCGCATGGTACAAGGCAATGCCGGCTTGTACATTCTTGGATATTTCTCTGCAATTTATGACAAGGTTTGTCGGTTATCTTTTTTTTTGATGCAAATGTATTCTTTAGTTCGAACGACGGAATTCTTCTTTACAATGGTCCAATGTCCGACAGCAGTGATCAATATGAAATCGAATATCGTGATTACATCATTATTGCTCTTCGAGGAGGACAAGTAAATTTGAAATTCTGTACTGCTTATAATTAAAATATTTTAGGTTGTACTCGAGATGAATATGAATGGACAAGTGTCTAGCAATGTCACCGTAGCCAGTGGAACACTTAGTGATGGAAAATGGCACGATATCCATGTTCGGCAAGAAGGACGAGTAAGTTTAATCTTATGTAACTTTAACTAAACTTTGCTTTAGTATATTGAACTCGTTGTTGATGGGTGCAGATATTTGACTGGTGGGGCGAATGGACAAGTTGATGATAGATCGTGCCGTGCAACATTGGTCACCCGGGATGATGATGAACGCCTGAATATTGTGACACCTCTGCAGGTATGTGTTGATTTATGTTATAAGCTGTTTTCGCTTAACATTACTTATCTCCCTTTTAGATTGGTGGCCTTGCTCCATTGACAAATCAGAACTATCCTCCAATCATTGCTTCTCAACCGGCATTGACGGGCTGTATTCGCAATTTGATTGTGAATAATGATCAATATGATCTGGAGACGCCAGCCTACGAACAAGTAACTTAAATTTTATCAAGAATTTGTGATTTTTTTAGAATGCGAGAATAGAATTTTAGAATAAAATTTAGAATACGGAGCGCGGATGCAAACTTTGGGGATCCGCTTGTGATGCAAATACTATCGACACAATCAGTCACTGTGTTCATGGAGATTGCTACGCCGATGTCGGAGTACGTTTATTAAAGATTCGAAATCTGTATTTATGTATAACATAAAAAAATATTGTATGTTCCATTTTAGGGAGCGCCAAAGTGCATTTGCGATCCTGGATGGGGAGGAGACAGATGCGAACGAAAACTTGAATGGGTCCAATTCAGCGCCAATGCCTACCTTGAATATTCGGTTTTGAATGAGGTTCTCGACGAACAATGGACAGACGTGGATCTTCTCTTTGTACCTGGAAGATCAGCTAGTGTCTCCGAGTTGTCGTATGGATCTGATGGAATGAAGTAGTTATCACATTTTTGTATGTTTATTACACTTTGGGTTTAGCTACGTGTCGACCAGTGTTGAAAATCAGGCTCCAACCGCGAAGATGCTCATTCAGAACAATGGAGCCGCAAACAACCCACAACCGGCAAGTCTATTGTTCAAAAACTTAAGACGATTTGGTTCGTTTCTGACGTTTATATTTTAGACCAGTCTGCAACTCGAGGGTGTTCAACTGAAAGACAATGTGTCGTATTGGCTGCAATTCGCAAGAAATCCAACCCGTGCTCAATTGACTTTGGACGGCTCTTACATTGACACTCAACCATTGGACCCAACGAAACAATCGTTTGCCCTTCCAATCAAGGAACTTCTTTTGTCATCAAAAGGCGGCGGAAGTGTTAGAGGATTCCAAGGATGCGTCGGTACCTACAGGTAGGGACAATTTCCAGTTTCTTACGGTGCAAATAGATTTAGTCCTGAAATTTACATTTTGTTTCAGGTGGAACAAACTGCAACTACCATTGTCGAAATCAGATGACGCTTCTTCAAACACCCTCATTCATCTTGCTACGGACACTGGCGTGACTCAGGTAATTTTTTTGTTTATTGGTTACGTAAGAAAAATTTGCGCAGATCTGCAAACAACGTTTCTAATTCAACGATTTTAGGGATGCTCTCTTCGAATCACATGTCAAATGCTTGGTGCCAGCTATTGTCAATCACCATTTGTATGTATGGATTTCTGGAAAGGACCCTTCTGCACATGTCCCGAGGGAGCGCACGCTCAATTGGATATCAACGATGGACAAGTAAATAATTTCTAATTGTATTTTTGTATTCAAAAATTCTAGGTAACTGGTTGCGGAGGGAAAGAAGCATATGCACGACTTGGTATCTCGTCTCCTGCAATTATTTTGATTCTCGTGTCTCTTCTTCTCTTGATCGTGCTTGTTCTTCTCATGGTAGTATACTCAAGACGACAAACACCGCCATTTGAAGCTGTTCGACCAGAAGATCTTAATAGGTATTTGATGCTTTATAAATTCTTTTTCAAGTTTGAATTTTCAGAGACAATCTGAGGCCGTACGCTATTGAGGGTGGAGGCGAGAACGACACGGATCAATACAATATTGCCAATCTTCGAAAACCAGTTATGGGACTTGAGAATGGCGGTGGACTCGGTCTTGGACATCCAATCGCGCCACCATCATATCCAGACAGACCACCTCCAGTTGGTGAGTGACATTTTCAAACCTAGACTAAATGTTGGGAAAAATTCGAGTTTTTACGAATCAATTTGTTTAGATGATGCCTTGCGGTCCCGGCTGAGAGAATTGGAGTCCGATCCAAACTCGGCTCCTTTCGACGAATTGCGAGTCTACGAAGATGAAGGCGATAACGTGTCGATGGTCACACTGGAGTCACTCGAGTCACAGCCAGGCGGCGGATCAGCCAACCCAGCGAACGATCATTCAGGAGGGGGTTGGGGTTCTCGTTATGATCGGATGAACCCATAAATTGAGTTTTGGCCCCCACAAAATGCGATATAGAACTTGTGTTTTCCTATGTTCCCTCAAATTCTTCCGTATCGCATTTTCTTTTTTTTATGTTGAGGTTGATCCTTGCTGTTTAAGGCTATCACATAAAATCGGGTCGATTTATGCATCCGTAAGATTTCGGATTTTTCTCAGCTCCTTGCCGATGATCTATTCACTTTTAAAGTTTATTTTGTGTTTGCAAATTTTCTCTTTTTTTATTGTACCATTTTTATCAGCTATTTATTGATGCGGGTCATTTGATGTTCACAATTTTCTAACCCAGGATTGTTCTAGGCGTCATTGTTTTATGCGAAATCTACACAGAAACACATCGAATTTTGTTTTTACGTTTGTTTCCCACCTCTAAAATTGCCTATACTGAAAATGCTTTCTCTTTTGAATCCAAGACATTTGCTCAGTCATTCAGCGCTACCATCATTCATCTTTGTATCTTTCAACCCCTTTATCTTTATCTCTTTTTTCACTTTGTGACGCATTTGTATGACTGCCACGTACACACTCAAAAATTTTCCTCCCCTCACTCCTCACTTTCATTAACCCACCATTAACAATTTGTGATAAGTTTTACTAGGAAAAATTTCTCACGTTTCACACTTTGTATATTTTATCGTGTCAATAAATCTATGAAGATAAAGTATTGATTTGGCGAATATGTGCAATGAACACTTTGGAGCGCTGGCGAGCATTTAGGCCAAACAGTTGTATTTTAATTTCCGAGTCGCGTTTACAATTATCGCGAAGTCTTCGTGCTAACAAAAACAAGGTTTTTGAGCAATTCCATAAGCATAGCTTTAAGTGCCAACAAATACAAAAAAAATCTGAGTGTAAGAAATGTATGTTTATGTTTTGATCTATATGATTTCTCGTGTCTCTGTGTGTTTCAATAGTGGTCTTCTTGAAAACGCACAATTTATCCAACTTTCCCTTATTAGGGCAACTTCGCTCAAACTGGAGCAACCTGGCACTATCACAATTAATTCAACACTTGCATGTGAAAAATAAAAGAGTGATAAAAAGCAAAAAGGGAGAACAAAAACTCACTCAAAAGCAAAGCTTAAATAACAGGGTTTTTTTAAGTATACAAGCTACAACAAACGGACAGCTGAATATCGTCTAGTGACTGATTACGGTGGTTTATCCATCAACTTTGAATTTTAACTTGTGTATTGAATTTTTGACTAACTGCAGAGCAGTGACAATTCGCCACACTGAGCAATTTATTAGGTGAGTACCATGCAATCAATCAAGGATTGTATTCGATGAGCAGATTCTTGCGGCGCACCATTCCATCTCCTAGAAACCACTCGCGGTCGAATTGCTTGGCGACACCGTCAGGAGCGTTGATCCATTCAAAGATGATGCGATCGTCGTGGGTATCTTCTTGGCCGAAATCGAAGGGCGCACACGAAACGGCCACCTAAGAAATTAAACTTATAACGGCAAGCTACAGAAGATAAAATAAAAGGATAAACAAGCGTACAAGGACGGCTTCTTTTGGGTCCAGAACGCCACATGATGGATCGACTACGAGGCGCTTCAGGTTGGTGGTCTCCCACGCATATCCGATACGACGACCGCTATAGTTGATAACCTAAACACAACATTAATAATTGACAAGAAAAAAGGTTTTAAAAGGGGTCGTAAGTAAAGTAGGGTAAGTAAAAACAACGTTCAAAAACATTACCTTGATGTGGTAGGTGTGCCTGTCATCGAATGGAGCGTTGAAGATGATCTTGGAGTTGGGTTGGGTGATGATGGCACCGGGTGGGATTGACTGGGCCGTCTTGTCGGGTTGAAGTCGAGCAGAATGATACCTAAAGAAAGAAAACATTTCATTTTATTTGACGCTTAAATGGGTTAGTAACCAACCCCTTACCTAACACCTTTTCTAAAATGGTTTGCTTGACTTTTTTAAAGGTTCTGATATCATTATGGTATCAGAAACTTTAAAAATGTTCATGGAATGAAGGAAAATGGGGTAGGCTAATTTCCGCAACTCACCATGTGCATTTGTTGGTTGTAAACGGACCAGTCACTTATTTATAAGATTACAATTGCTTACGCTTGCATTTGCTGTTGCTTTGCTTCCTCCTCTTGACGCTTCTTGATGATTGGCCACTTGGTCTCCTCCCAGACTTTCAGCTCTGAAATTTTCATTTGAAATTAAGCCATAATAGATTTTTAGCCATCTACACCATAATTTTTCTAACCGATTCCTGGAAATTTCGTCTCCAGTGGCTTCTCAGCTTCCTCAGCTTGACCCTTGTGAGTTTCTCCAGAAATCGAGCCATAGCCTCTTGTTGTCGGTTTTGAATGATTGATCACTCGGTCGCCTCCCATGTTTTCAGATCTGAAAGTAACATTTATGCGTCTTTCCTCTAGAGCTCACTGGCCAAAAATCTGGCAAAGGTTTGACTAAAAACATTTCCAAATTTAAACTGACCAATTCCAGGGAAATCAAGCTTCTTTGGCTCCTCAGCGACCACTTCTTTCTCGGGAACCGATTCAACAGCAACACTTGTGGTAGAAGTTGCAGAAAGCGACTAAATGTTAATCATTGTCTTTGTAGCTAGGTAGATTTACTTACCTTCGGCTGAGTAACTTTCAGCCCAAAAAAACCATTGAAGACTTCATTGAAGTCAGAACGAAGTTGCAGCAGTTCGGCTTTCCACCTTTCAGCAATCTCAGCAAAGTTCTGAAATATTATAATTTTTAAAACAAGACCGTTAATTTTGAGTCTTAAATTATCAATTCTTATATTAGGCTGTCTAGAAAGTCTTTTCGTTCCTTTTCGTACTTCCGTTTACAACCAACAAATGCACCGATTGATTTGTTCCCTGTGAATCAGTCCAACTCACCGCAGATTTGGCCTTGCTCGCCTCTACCTCAGCCATCACAATCGATCGATCTATCAAAGGACCAATCGATCCATCAAAGAATTTCGTCTCCATCTTGTTGGTAAAATCACGGTCTTGGACGCCCATCTGATAGGAGTGTTGATAACCTAAACACAAACATTAATAATTTACAAGAAAATAGGCGTTAAAAGGCTCATAAGTAGGGGAAGTAAAAATAAAGTTCAAAAATATTACCTTGATGTAGGTGTGCATCGTATGGAGCCTTGGCCTGGGTGTAGGTGTACATCGTATGGAGCCCTGGCCTTGGGCTGGGTGATGATGTCGCGGGTGGAATCGATTGGACCATCTTATCGGGTGGCGAGACCCGGCGTAAAAGCCGGACAAAGTTTCCGACACCATCATGGAATGAAGGAAAATGAAAAGAATGGCAAAAGGGGAATTTTGTGCGGGGTACAATAGTGCATCCACGCTTTAGAAAGCGCATCGCGCCGCCGCGCCAATCCCTTAAAACCGCACGTCGACAGGAATCTAACTAATGTAAATTTGCGGATAATGTCTGAAAACTCAAAAATTTACATTTAGTCTTCAAATAAAACGAAAACGCTCACATGGAAAAATTCATTTCTATTCGTGTCTTTATTTCGACCAGCTTGGGATCAATTTAACGGGTGCGCTTTCTGCTGATGATGCCGTTCATTCTCTTCTTCATCGCACACATCATGGCGCTCCGATCCACCACCGAGGATGTAAGCTTTTCGTTTTTGGAAAACTTTTGTTTCGTGTTAGCGTGTAAAGCGTCTGGATTTAGGTAGTTTAATTAACACATTATCGGTGACGATCATGGTTGTTCTGATTTGGGATGGTAAGGCAAAGCTTTAGCTAAACGCAGTGAGTAATGAGTAAACGCTGAAGCTTTAGCTAAACGCAGTGAGTAATGAGTAAACGCTGAAGCTTTAGCTAAACGCAGTGAGTAAGGAGTAAACGCTGAAGCTTTAGCTAAACGCTACAATGCGCGCTTAGGTATCAAAAAATAGCTGAAACTCAGGGCTATTTTTTGATACCAAAGACACATTTTTTTGAAAGTACGGGCGCTTTGAAAAAAATGAAATACTAAAAAACTTTTGCGACTACACGACTGTACGCGGGGGTGGGGTACTATTACAGTATTTACGGTAGTAACTTTGTTCGTAAAAACTAATATTGGTTGCTTTAGATCTTACCCGACTTCTGCCACGATTGCGAGTACCCGCATTTCAATGGACCGCGACCAGGTACATTTTTTTAAAGCCGTAAACCTATACATAATGTTTATTTGGTCATAGTGATGGTTGGTTTCTTTTTCGTTTCTAAAGACCGTTTAATTTTTAGACATGTACACGACGTTGTCGTGCGTTCGTCAGCTGGACATGATGTCGCCCCGAGAAAGAGTGCAGTACTACGTCCGCGACAATCCAATCTGCATTGCACTCGTCGTTTTGTAAGTTTCGTTTTGACTTTATAACTTGTTAATAAGTATCAGGATTTAACTATGTCTATGATTGGTTTCCTTTTAGCGAAGGATTGCGTCCGCTTTACACGCTGCGTGCAGGAGTGCCGGCCAGCTCACTTCCTGAGGAATGCTACAAGAATAAACAAAAGGGAGGGTTTGTATTTGACTTATAATCCAATGTTAATTGCTTTCTTTGGCTACTACTTTCCCCATCAAGAAGTCACGATCGACCCGAGTTTTGGAGTCGACAATCATTGGCAGGCTGAAGTGATAAACCATTCGAATGTGAGTTGCGGCTTGTTCTTTACTTGTAATTGATTTCTTTAGTATGACAAGCTCTCGGCTATTGCGGATGCTGATCATGAAAAGGTTTGTCGTTAAAGAAGCTTTTCATTTGATTTTGATTTTTAGAACGAGACAAGACGATACGTTGGGGCGTTGATGTGCTGTGGGACGCCAATATGCAACTCGGATGATGTCGAATTTTTCCAAGTAACGGCAAGCTATTTAGTATTCTGGCTTTTGATATTGAATATTTGCTAATGCTTGTATTCTTTAGCCGATGCGTATTGGAAAACGAGAGGTGAAGCACAAAGATTGGACGGCTGCGATGCCCATTCTCATTGTCATCTCTATCTTCACGCTAACGCTGTGGCCATTTTTCTCCGAAGTTGCTGTGAGTTTGTTGTTTTTGAAGCGAAAGTGTTGGGAGAGTTGGACGAAGAGCTAGTTTGTTGTTGTATTTGTATAATTCTCTTTTAGGAATTGAACAGATCGAGAGCCCTTGAAAAGATTGAGAAGCCGTGCACTTTGACTGATGAGTGGTACAACTGTCCACAGCCGGTGGTTTGTTTTCATTTATCTAGCTTTGATTGAATATTTTTAGACGCTATATTTTCGAGAGACAGTGTGCGCACTTTTTCGAGGAGACAAGAGTGGCTACAGACAACTGCATATTGTGCTCGGGGGGTTGAACAGAAAACGTGGGATTGCAGAGGACAAGCCGGTAAGAACTTAGAAGATGGATTTTGAATTAGATTGTTCTTTTAGAGTGAAAAGTTCAGCGCCGAACCTCCAACAGAAATAGCAACATTTTGGATCTGTGACACGAAATTTACCAAGGTGAATTTTAAGATTAATTTCTTTTTATGTATAAGCTTGTTTGTTCAGGTTGGTCGAAAGATGAGCACAAGACTGGAGGAACTCGGCGCAAGACTTATCGAGCATGGACCTTTCGAATTCGACTTCAACGTTCTCGAGGTAATGCTTTACTTGAATTGAATAACTTCATAATATGAACAGTAACTTCATAATATGCTTTGTTTTTTAGTTAGCCGATCTCTTCGACAAAGCAACACAGCTTTTGGATCATGAACCGTCTCTTCTCGCCCTACCCGCAAACGTTGTCGTTGTTGGATCGATTGAAGGCAACTATGTGTACGTTTTTGTTTGCTTTTTGCTTTACTGTTTTTCATTTTCAGCCAACTTTTCCGTATCTTCCAAAAATGGGGATGGCCGCCTTTGCAACGGTTTACTAGATCGCAGACTGCTAATAGGTAATTTTTAGATACCTATTCCTCGGCGGACTCACTCTACCGGATGTGCCCGAATCGCTTGAAACGTTCTGCTTGCTTTTGGCGCTCAAGGTAGGTAGAAGTGATTGGTGGTGTAAGCTGGAATTTTTACATTTGTTGTTTTAGTTACGCCACCCCCACTTCATCTACTTCTTGCGAGGCGTCTCGGAGACCGACGGACTCAATCTATACGCACGATTTCCGGAACGATTGGCGAATGTCATCTCTCAAATGACGAATGAAGTAGGCAATCTTTTGGTTTTCTTTCATTGTCATTTTTCAGATTCACGCTCGTTTCCCGCTCGCTGCCGTTGTTGCCGATCGAATCTTTTGTGTCTATGGCGGTTTAGCTCCAAAGGTTATCCATTTTTATGCTGCTTTTAATTTATTTGCTTTAGATCTCGCTCCGTTCGATCCTTGACATCAAAAAAGGAGCCGCTGAGGTGAAACGAGGAACGATGGCCGCGAATTTGATCTTCTCGATGCCCGACCCGACTGAAACGCACAAGATTCCCGGTGAGGCTTTCATCGATGTTTCCGGCGTTTTAGAAAAGTTCGTTTCATTACTAATTTCATACTTAGGTGGTCGTGGGTGGTTGTTTGGGCCGAATGTTGTGGAGGCCTTCATCAAAAAGCATCAGAATATCAGGGCTATCATTCGAAGTCGAAACATTGTCGATACGGGAATTAATGTGAGTTTACTTTTCGATTACATCTTATTTGGATGACTTAAATGGATAGCTTGCTTTGGGAAATAGTAAAGTAAATGTTTCTAGTAAATGTAATAGGTAATTTCATAGAATACTAAATGAAAAAATGAAACTCTTTTGCATTCAGGTATGCAAGTGCAACGACATTCCGATCTACACAATTCATTCATCGCCCGATCAGCCAAATGAGGAACGCGAAGGACATCGATCGGCCGCCGTTTTGAACATCAATAGCTACGGGGTCTCTGCATTGCGCTTTTCCTCCCACAAAAACTTTATCGGTTGGGTTTTTGACGTGCATAACTTGCTTATTGCTTAATTTAGGTGTTGTCCGTAATGTGAAAAATAAAGAGAAGCAAGAACTCGATCCGACCGCAAACTACCGAAAGACGTCGAACATCAAGACTTTATAAAAACGACAATTTATCTATACTGTTGATCAAAAGAGAATAAACGCTTTCAATGTTTTGTGTTTGTTATGCCTCTTTACGGTAACGAAAGAGCAAAAATTCATTGTCAGTGCAATTTTAGACCGTTAAGCAATGGAAGAGGTTTTAGAGGGAGTTTGTACAGTTTTCCGCAAATGAAAATGCCTTGCAGGAGGGAGCGTTTTATACCATTTTAAAGCCCCACCGCGTGTCAGCCCACATTTTAGAAAAGCCCACATACCAAGCAATTTTGAATTTTGAATTAATTTTTTTGCTACCTTAACCCTGTCGTGTCTGGCTCCTGCTAAATGGATGTACTAAAAGTAATTTTCGTCGTACTTCTCGTTATCGTTTTTGGTATGAGTGTTGCTTCTTGTTCTTACTCTACGTATCGCTGGATTCGGTAAGTGCTTTAACAATCATAACCATTACGTTTATTGATTTAGCGAGCAACGTCGGATTGCAAATGTTGAAGAAGAGATTAAGGTTGGGGATTTCGTGTATTTAAAACTTAACACGTTGACGACATTGTCACCTGATGCTGTCTGACACATATTCGTTCGCCTGGGACATTGTCACCTGATGTCAGGTGACATTTTTTGTCGAAAAAAAAACAACGCGTTGTCCCATGCGATTGTTTGTGCAAAAACGCCATTGTCGTCAACGTGTTAAAAAGTAAAATGAAAAAATCGAACGATTTGTCGTTGCTCTTAAACTTTTATAGATCAAATATAAATGTGTAAATGACAAACATTTTTATTCAGGCTTTTGATGCGTTGATTGAAGAGGCAAACAAGGTCAATCCACAAGCAGCATCCACTATTGACGGGCAACAACGAGTACTACAACCAAATTGTACTTGGTTAGCTTTTTTACAAACGCTTTGTGGATATTATGTTTTATTAACCCTAGATTTTCTTTTTTAGCAACGCTCGGCTACCACGACCCGATCCTGCCGTAATGCCTCGACTCACTGCTCACTCGAGCCTCACATACGTTCGTTCAGTGCTCTGAAACAACAAGAAATGGATGATTTTATCTTTATTTGTGTGAATTAATAAATTTTATTCTTTTTTGTTGAATATCTGTTGACAAGGGTTTTTCACACCAATATGTCTTTTAAGGAAATTGAGGTTTTTTGTTCGATTGTTGAGCTGTGCTTGAGGTCGTCTTGTTCCAAAATACGTCTCGCTACGATTGCTTTATGGTCGCTAGTAGGCTAGGAGAATTTTGTGCATTTGATAAAATTGTCTGTTTGCATTAACGATCGCTAGTTTTCTTTTTAAAAATCAATAATTCTTGTTAACGTTTGCATTTAGATGGCGAAAAGTTTGCGTTCAAAATTCAAAAGGAAGATGCGTGCCATTGCAAGGGTTAAAAAGGAGCCAAAGGTATAAATTTTAGTTAAAATTCATTCTTGTAACTTTGAAAATTAATTTAATCAAGTGCATACAAGAATAGGATAGTTATGTGTGATTTTCTTTACTATCGATTCATATTCAGTTATTTTAGGTACTGAAGAAGTTGGAGGAGACATTGGCGAAGAAAACAATTGAGGAAATTAACGCTTCAACGAGTGTTGAAAATGATGCTACAATGGAAACCGACAGCTCAACAAAGGCAACGATCAATTTGAAAACAATGAGAAAGGCTGACGGAAATTTTCCAAAGTGGATGAGCGCAAGAAAAGTTTGACAATAAAACTTACATTTAAATAAAGTTGTTCAGGTCAAACAAGTGAAAGCCTCCAATAAGAAAGTGCAGAAGAACAAGAAAAAGAAGAATCGATAAAGCCAATCTTATTAATTTCACTTTATTGTAACCGTTGTTGATTTTATTTTTTGCGTTCACTTTTGTTATTTTCTCGTTGTTATGTTTGGAAAAAGTCGTTGATTTTAAAAAATTTCAGGTAATGGCCTTACCAGCCGTGCGTACCGCGTTGAACGCTGTTGTGAGGGCGCCCCGCGTGATGGCTGTTGTTGGTCAACGAGGATTGGCGACTGAGGTAGATTTGATTTCTTATTAACAAAAGGTTTTTTTGAGGTAGAGTGTTGCAGTACCTTTTACCATTTGTTGAACATATGTTTCAAGCAAGTCTAGGACTGTTAAAATTCGCACTTAATCTGATTCATTTAATTTTTTTTTCAGGCGAATCCCGACGATTATGGTCACTACCCTGATCCGCTAGAGGTTTCTTTTTTATGACTTCTTTTAATATTTATATTTATAGCACGCTACTGGACGGGAAAAGAAAATGTTGCTTGCTCGTCTTGCTGGAGATGATGTAAGTTTTTGAAAATCATTGTATATAAGATTTTTTATTTGTTGTAAATCATTAAAAATTATCAAGTAAATAACTAAATTCTTAGTTTGCTAACATATATTTTTAGCGCTATGAGCCAAAGGTTTACTATCGTGCCGAACACTCGACCAAAGAAAAGCCCAACCTCGTGCCATCTCACTTCCAAGATCGAATGGTTGGCTGCATGTGTAAGGATTTTATAAGTTTTCACAAAATATTATTGTATGTAGGTGAACCGGACAGTGGACATGTCAATTTCATGATGGTTCGCAAAGGAATGCCAAAACGATGCGAATGTGGACATTGGTACATTTTTATGATGATCTTTTTAATAATCCAGCAGTCTTCAATAAGTTTGAAAACACCGTTGCTTGTTCGTTATTTTTAATTTTTCAATTTAGGTTCAAAGCAATTGATGCCGATCCGGAATCTGTTTAAAACAAAACTATGATAAATGTTTTCTTTTGTTTAGGTTTTGTTTTACCTATAGATATTTTTGTATAAATTTTTCATTTTCAATAAATAGTGCTTTCGTTTTTATTAAAAACACGATGATTTTACAAGAAATTAAAAAAATGTCAGTGACAAGAGTATCGTTAGGAAGTTTACTACGGCAATATCATGCGGTAATTTACGTTTTTATAGAGATGGGAGATTCAGAAGATGAGCAAATCGTTAATTACGAAGAAGTGGTAATTTTTTCTCAGTCTAGATAATTCACTAAATCTTCACATAGCACGGTTACTTCAAGTAACATGCACTACTCTTTTGGAATAGAATTAATAAAAAAAAACTATTTTATTAAAGAAAATTAAAAGAGATGTTTTTCCAAAACATAACGCCGATTATGTAAATGTATTTATATTTAGGAGGAAGATCTTGCCGAAATCGAGGCACGTCAAAAACAGTCAACATCGGGCGGATTATTAATCAGTGAGTTCGTTCGAGAATTTGGTGAAATTAGAATATATCTTTTACATTATGCTGGGAACTCATTATTTTTAGCCAAACACGAGGTGTTGCCGACCAAACGTGGCTTAAAACGTTTGGATCACTTGCGTGAGCAAAGAATTACTGTAAGTTTTGTTGATGTTTTCAGAGATAATATAGATTTAGGATGCCATCCCACTCTTCGCAAGTAAAATCTGGAAAAAGAAACGCTTAGCGAAATTGCTACATGGCTACTTCACTTATGCACTCTATTCAGCCGTCGGCACTTGGGATCCACTTGAGTCGGAAGGTAAGCTCTTTCAGAAAGTAGCAATATAGTTTATGATTTGTGCAGGATCTCATTCTATGTCAATCTAAATTTAATGCGCCTTTAGAATTGGATTCGATTACGAAAGCGTTTACAACGATCAACGAGTTGAATGAGGAAATTTGCGGTAACCTGACCGAACTTGCGGGCTTTCCCAATGAATATGTGGAAGCGACAAAGAAATTTTCAACTCTGGTACAAATTATTTGTTGTTTTTTTCTATTTATTTTTATAGGGAACAATGGAACTTCGCCAATATGTAAAGAAAACGAAAAAATTTGGGGTGGTCAAAGTCGAAACATCGGAAAATGATGAAGCTCAGCTTGTTTGTCAAGTAAACGCTTTTTCGTTTAATATTACCAACGAGTTGTAAAATCTTAACGTTGGAATTTTAATTATTTACTTATTACATGCTTGAACGATCTTACTATTGGTTATTTAGGGTTTTGGCCATCACGGGTCCAGCCAGAAGCGAGCCACTTGTAGTCTTGTACTTGGAAATTTTGCGAGTAATCGTAACAAAACGAATTATGCCACACAGGAAAGGGCGGTTGGTAGTTTCTTTTTAGCACATTCGCGACAATGCCATTTTTCGGTGTTTTAGCTTCTGAGGTCAGAACGATTTTATCGCCGGATCAACATGAAAATTTGTACTTGGGAGTTTTCGAGGTTAGGAAATTCGAATCCCCCGATGATTATCAATTGTGAACTCACCATGGTCACTACCAAGCCAGTCAAAAAATTGGGTAATTAAACCGAAATGGAGAGAAAATAGCGAAACCAAAATTTTTTCTACTTCTACAATCAAAGGCCGTGTGCCAGAAGCTGCGCGATTTTCATCGTTTTGCAAAAACACGCGACTTCTGGCAGACGGCGCAAAATTTCCGGACTTTTTTCACAAGAAAATTAATAACTTTGTTAGTTTTCAACATTTTTTGCGATCCTCTTCAACTTTTATGGGAAGAAATGTCAGGGGCATCTTTTGATACCAAAAGCATCAAAATCAGTCAAGTAGGAGAAATATTTCTTTAATGTCGAAGTTGGGGACTCTTCAAAATGGCCGAAACGAGCACTCCTAAATGAGTAGCCAAAAACTAATACCGGATTCGGGTTCCCCACCCCTGAAAACTACACATTTTCAGCTTAATCTGTCCATAAATTATGCCAATTTCAAGTGGGGGTCCTTGGTCCCAGGGGCTAGTTCATGTGGGCCACCGGTGAGCCCCATTGTCGCGAGTGTGTTAAAATAACAAAAATAATTTTTGCTAAACACCTCAGACGACGAGAACTTCGAATTTTTAGACATTTCTGCTCTGCGATCGCCATTTTTCACTTTGCAAGGTCTATTTTGAGTTGACCAAGATGGACCGAAATTTTTATCACAATGCTCAGTATCAGGTACTCATTTTAAATTATTCGTTTTTTCAATAAAACTGTTTAGCTCAATCGCTTTTCGCACGCAGATGAGCCTAAAACATCAGCTACGGCAAAAGAAAGAGTCGCTCGCATAACCGAACAAGTTTATGATGTAAGTTTAATGTTTACTTGAGGTGAATGCTTCGGAAAGTTGGAAAAATAAATATTTTAGGCAATAATCGCACAAACGCTTGGCCTCTACCATCGTTTGTTAATTTTTGGAAAACCCGAGCAACTTTCGAGATGGATTGTCGAACCCTACGATGAACAAGAGAAAAGACTACGAGAAGAAGTTGACCAGAAGCGCAGAGAAAAGAAATCAAAAAAAGAACCCAGTAATCTTTGATGTTAAATAGGTAGTAATTTATCCTTTAAGTTGTTGTCGTTGTTATACTTTTTGTGTTGAGTTTTACCGTTAATCGGTTATTATAAACATTTTTGGATCGGGAACGCGAACTTTATAACTTTCTATCAACCAGAGTCCATCCATTGCTTGCTGTCGTATGTGCATCACACACCTTCGCTGATAATGGGGTCTTCAAGAAAAAGGTGAACGGATCGAAGGAGCAAAGGAATAGACCATCCGGTAAGAGTTTTTATTTGCTTAAGGGATTAGAGAATAAAATACTTCTTTAATTTAGAATTGCAATATAGCTAAACTTTAAAAGAACTGTATTTTGCTTTTTAGGAGGCCAAAATAAGGCGAGAGTGCAAAGACGGAAAAACCCACTGTTAGGCGGGTTTTTCTGTCGTCTGGTATCTAATATCCGGAATTTTTGATCAATAAGGGACAGGAATCAATTTATTTTGTGAATCTTTCCATACCAACTCTTCTAAATCAATATCATATGTGAACTTGCAAAGCTTGTCGTTGTTGTTGTTTCAGAAAGTTTCAGAAAAGAGTTGTTTCAGTGCAAATAAAATCCTTTCTTCATGAGTGAAAAACGAAGTTATCCTTTTGATTTTGGGGCATATTTTTATTTAATGCTTCGTTGCTGCTTAAGATGAGATGCTTCGTTATTTTCCAACAAAGACCCGCTTGAGTTGATCGCGAAAGTGTTTGCTAAAGCTTTGTTGTTCAAATTAATAGGAATGGTTTATGAGCATGGTTACAAGGAAAGGTCACGAGGGTGTTGTGGAGATGGAAAATGAGACTTAAACCATCGGATGTAGAATTTCGCTTTTTGCGGATTCTGATGTTGTATTTAGTTTTTGCAATTTGTATTCAAACTGGGCAGCTACGAAACGTTTAAAAATTCATTCTCTAAAGCTCATTCTTTTCATTTTTCCACCAAACATTTATTACATTTATCTCTCACTTTTTATTGCAATTATATTTTCAATAATTTATTTTTTTTAGGAATCGGATCGAAGAGAGATTCGATTTGAAGAATTTCGAGCTCAACGGGAAAATGGACGAGAAGAATTCTTCAAGAATAAGGATGATGAACAACTTGAGGGTCTACGAGGAACAGCCGAGAAGGACTCAATGGAGGCAATAGGTGAAAATGAGGATAACGTGGAGGGAACACGCAAAGAGGAGGTCGGAGTATTAACTACGGGGAATGACAAGATGCGCATTTCGGTAATGTTGAGTGCCAGGTCGGATGGTAAAAAGCTCGAACCATATGTTCTTCTTCCAAGGATCCGAAGATCACCTCTTCCAATGCTTTAAGTCAGAAGGAGCAATTCCAACAGGTTGCTTACCGTAAATACTGTAATAGTACCCCACCCTCATAATGACGGTGCGGAGTGTTGCGTAGTCTAGCTTTGAACGAGTTTTTCTCGACACTGCTTTATGCTACAATGTTCGTTTTGGTTTCAAAAATAGCTGAAATTCAGGGCTATTTTTTGATACCAAAGACGCATTTTTTGAAAGTACGGGCGCTTTGAAAAAAATGAAATACTAAAAAACTTTTGCGACTACGCGACTGTACGAGGGCGGTGGGGTACTATTACAGTATTTACGGTAGATAGTTTTGTCGCAATTTATTTGTTTCTGTTTTTAAGAATTACCAAATTGAAGGATATTCGTTTGGATGAAGAAATCGCCGAATTGTTGCCAGGAATGAAGGGTCTCGAGGGTCTACGAGGAACAGCCGAGCAGCACTCCAGAGAATCAAAAAAAGTGCTCAAAACTTGTTGAATTCAGCTGTTATTCCTAGAGGAACAACTAAGTTCATTCCGTGTCCTGATGTGGGCTGGAATCAGCCTTTCAAGGCTCATATTCGGCAGTGTTTTGAAGTGTTTTTTTTTTTGAAGACTAGGTGCTCTTGGATATCCTGACGTCTTGGATGTCAGACCTGACGAAAGAGGGAAATACGAAGCCTCCATCGATGGATCACTACTGCACGCGTAATTGCGCGTTACCTGGCAAAGAATAAATACCGATATCCGGTCAATGTCAAACGTTTCAAAACAGCGCATGGTAAAAATGCGGAAACGTTAATGCTCCTTTTGTCCCTTTGCAAACACCAGCTGATGTGTGCTTCCAGGTTGACGACAAACTTTGCGAGACGAGACGAGACGACGACGAATTATGGATCACACGGTTTTACGTGTTGTACAAAGTGCGACATCAAATTAGGCTTCATTCATTTTATCGTTTATTATCATGTTTGTTGATTTTGATTTTTGAGCTCAAATTGAGGGAGATTGCTTAGTTTGCATCTCCACATCATTCTCGTGACTTTTCCTGGTTAGTAAGGTTCACCTGCTGAGGCAAAACAGGAAGAAATTCGAGACTTTTCCGCTAATCACCAAAAAATCGGAGACTGTCCAAGCAAAAACCGTGGATATTGGGCTCATTTGGAGCGTCGGGATCACACTTCTGAAGTATCAAAAGATAGAAAAGTGTTAGATATCTTTTTCTTGGGGAAACGATTGAAAACTCGTTCCAATTATTGCTCCAATTATTATTATTGCTTGAATTATTGCTAAGAGCTAACTTAAAAACACTTGTCAATTCCGATACCTTATCAATACCAATACTTATACTTGACAACTTTTTGACAGTAACTTGAAAAACTGAATTGACCGATCAATAAGCTTCCAGCTGCGCGAGAGCCAAAATATTAACCAGATCTATAGGTTAGTAAAACAAATATTACTATGTAAAGTATTAGTATTGGTAAGGTATTGATAAGCCAGCTCTAATTGGTTGACTTGGTTAACTGGTTAACTTTCTCGGTACTTGTGGAGTATCCGGGGGGGGTCTTTCAATATCCGGGGGGGTAAGATTTTAAGATCCGGGGGGGCAAAATTTTAAGATCCGGTGGGGTAAAATTTTAACTTTTTTATACTTTTTTTTTTACTTTTTGGCCATTCTGCTACTTTTATCAATCTTTTGCACCTATCGCTTTCAGAGTTTAAAAGAAGAACGAAAATATTGCTCATGATCTGATTAATGGTCTAAAGATCAATAGATTAACGCAAATTCCGTGAAATTTTACATTTACCATAGGCTTTGTAACTAAAAATGAAATTCTTGAGGCAAATGTTTAACCTTTTGTTAAACCCTTAAACTTAAACCTTTAAACTTATATCATTTTACGTTAATTTTAGCGTTTTAAATAGAATTTCATCAATTTAGTGTGAAAATGTTTGCCGCCAACTAGGATATTATCAACATTTCTAATAATGACATAAAAAAAAATTTTGTAGAAGTTACGTTTTTGATCGAGTATCACCTCGAATCACGTAATCAAGTAATCACCTCAATAAATTGAATATCTTTACATTTGAAGGGAAATTGCCACCAAATCACTTAAGCGGCTGAATATCTTTAAAAGGGGTCGTGTATAACGTATATAAAATTTTACCCCCCCGGATCTTAAAATTTTACCCCCCCGGATATTGAAAGACCCCCCCGGATACTCCACAAGTACCACTTTCTCAAAGTGTTTCTTATTAACATGTTTTCTTTTAACTATTAGGTTGGTGAATTGAAAACTGCGGGACTTTGAACTAAAATTTATTCAACATAAAACCATCAATTCATTCCAAATGATTTCCATTATTATTGACGACTTCTGCCCATTTTACGGGCAATTTGCGGATTCCTCTTTCTTCGTAGGGTTTTTGGTTTGTGTGTGAGACAAGTGTGAGACTCAAAAATGGAGGACTGGAGATCTCCAATGTCCCAGTTTGAGCACTTTCTTCAAAAGAAACCCATTTTGGTGTCAATAGGAAAGTTGCAGAGAATCAAAAATTAGGCTTATAGCCAAATTTCCAAAAAGATACACTTAGTAGTTTCGCTTAAAATGCAAGTTTTGTGAAAATTCGTAAATTTGGCATTTCCTGAAAACCAGTTTTTGAATCGTTATGAAAATTTGGCTATAAGCCTAATTTTTGATTCTCTACAACTTTCCCATTGACACCAAAATGGGTTTCTCTTTGAAGAAAGTGCTCAAACTGTCACATATGACAATAGCCCGCAGTTTTCAATTCACCAACCCAATACTTTCTTAGGAAATCATGTAAATTGATTTGAAGGCAGTGCTTAAATTCAGATTTATCGTTCATTTGTTGTTTGTTGTTTATTATTTTTCTACAATTTCATTACCGTACATCATTGACAAGATGACCGACGGAAAACTGATGACGATATAAGAAGAAATGATCACAAGAACAGTGTTTGTTACATGTTTCTCCGATTTCGACATTTGGCGATTATGATCATCGATTTCGGTTAACTAAAACGAATTTTTTCAAAATTCACATAAATATTTTACTTGCTGTCTTTTCCTCAAGTAATGAAGCAGCAAGACATTCAGAATAACCAATAAAAGAACTGGAAGTGTAATCCCATGAAATGCGTGCAGATAAGTCAAGAGCCCGACAAAAGGAGGATCTTTGAGACCAAGGTAAATGGTGGTGAGGAACGATGGGATAAAGAGAAAGAGAACAATCAGAAAATCACGACTGTGGAATCTGAATGAAAAGAGCATTCGTCTATTCGGGACTATGACAATACCGCACCGCCATTTGCGCACACGAACAAAAGCGTCTTTTGCGCACGTATTTTTGCGCACAAGTCATTTGCGCACATGAACAAAAGCGTCTTTTTCGCACCGATTTTTGCGCACAATTCTTTTGCGCACCGCCCTGCGCACATGAACAAAAGCGTCTTTTGTGCACACACATTTTCTTTTGTTTTATCTGCCCTCATCATCAAAGCTTGATTGATTTTATTTATTTATGGTGACTTCTAATTGATTAATTTATTCAAAAACGTAATTTTCAATTTAGCAATAAAAATAAACTGAAACCGTAAATAGCTCTAGGTGCAATAAGTTTTAAAAACTGTGCTGAAACAGTGACGAAACGAGAAAAACATGCAAAGGGGTGCCGATTCAATTATTAGGTGCGCAAAAGACGTTTTGAAGGCGTGTGCGTAAATAGCTTGTGCGCAAATGGCTTGTGCGCAAATAGCTTGTGCGCAAATGGCTTGTGCGCAAATGGCTTGTGCGCAAATGGCTTGTGCGCAAATAGCTTGTGCGCAAAAGACGCTTTTGTTCATGTGCGCAAATGGCGGTGCGGTATTGTCCCGTCTATTCGAATTTCGGAGATTAGAAAAAGCTCTAAACTCTCAACATTTCTTGCTTGAGGTTTTCCTTTCTTTCTCACGATACTCACCCGTATTTCATTCGTGAAAGTGGCGATTTAATTGCCCAAAAACGCTCAAATGTAGCCGCCACTATTAGCCTGAAAATTTTCCCTATGAAATTTCCCTATGAAATTCATTCTTTTATTGAATGAAAATAGAGTATTGAGTTATTGACCAGACACCATACGAAGCAAGACAATTCGATGTAGCCGTGAATTGGGGTTTCCACAAAAGGTAGAACGAGGCAAAATTGGTGAAACACCGAGAAATCTCTGAAATCTCGAATATAAAAAAAGAAAATTCCCAAACTAGCCGTTTTCTTTGCATTCACGAAACATCAGATCTCTACTTTTTGCCAAAATATGCGGCATCAACGAGATCATCAGAAAAAGGTCGGTCAATGAGGCAAAGCCGAGAAAAAAGTTGGCTCTGATATGAATTTGATTTGGAGATTTCTTTTTGGGCTTTTTGACAAGGGAAAGGAACTGGCTGAGCCTGCTATGCTATGCTGAGCCTTCAAAATGCTATGCGACCTATACCATTCAACGCAGAATTTTATCCTGATTCCAAATATATATTTCCGTTTTTGTGAAATGACAATCTGTCAAGAGTTCTAGACGTTTAAAGTTTTGTTAGGACACTGAAAATGTGATCCTTTAGGTCTTAACGGCCTCCTTGCGGGCCGGATTCGATGCAGCCGTGGTCAAGAAAAAAAGCCGTGGTCAAGGTGGTCGATGCAGCCGTGGTCAAGAAATACGTTGTACCCATTTGGATCTTAACGGCCTCCTTGCGGGCCGGATTCGATGCAGCCGTAGCCGAGTGGTAAAGCGCTCGTTTCCAGAGCGAGACCGCACAAGTTCGATCTCCGATTTGGATGCTTTTTTCAAAAAGTGCTGACTAGTATTCCTTGTGCGCTTGCACAAGATATTTCTTGTTGTCACACAGTGAGGATCGGATCCGTAAGGTCGCTTTACCACTTGACCACGGCTGCATCGAATCCGGCTTGCAAGGAGGCCGTTAAGACCTAAATGATCACATTTTCAGAGTTCTAACAAAACTTTAAACGCCTATAACTCCTGACAGGTTGTCATTTAACAAACACGGAATTTATATTTGGAATCAGGATAAAATTCTGCGTCGAATGGTATAGTATTTGACCGGCTCAGCCAGTTGACCGGCTCAGCCAGTTGACCGGCTCAGCCAGTTGACCGGCTCAGCCAGTTGACCGGCTCAGCCAGTTGACCGGCTCAGCCAGTTGACCGGCTCAGCCAGTTGACCGGCTCAGCCAGTTGACCAGGCTCAGCCAGTTGACCAGGCTCAGCCAGTTGACCAGGCTCAGCCAGTTGACCAGGCTCAGCCAGTTGACCAGGCTCAGCCAGATGACCAGGCTCAGCCAGATGACCAGGCTCAGCCAGATGACCAGGCTCAGCCAGATGACCAGGCTCAGCCAGATGACCAGGCTCAGCCAGATGACCAGGCTCAGCCAGATGACCTTTCCTTGTAAGTTAATTTAACGGTTGGATTCGATTAGTTTGAAAAATTCTCTGATCACCTGTTTCTCATTTTTGCCGAAAAGAGAACGGGAAGGATAAGCAGATTCCCGATGATTCCCAAAATTGCTTGAAATGGAAGAAGAGACTGGAAGAACTTTAGAGACGATCGAATCACCGGATCTATTGGCTCTAGATCTTCCAGCTAAATCAATTCTTTACTTGAATAAATAGCCAGTCAGTACTATAGTCAGTAAAGTGGCTATTTGACATAATTAACGTAAAAACTTTATTTTTATTATTGAGAAAGTTTAGGAAAGTTCTAAATGAAATTTCTTGATAAATTGAATAGCAAAAGTTTTTCCAAACACGCTTGACTGAGGATTTTTATATAGTGAGCACCTGATCAGCTGAGTGAAAAGAAAGAACTCCTTGAATGAGGAATTGACCTGAAAGTTCTTATAGATTTAGAAATAGAAAATAAATACCTATTAGAATAACTGTATAGAAACCCATGTTAAGGAAAATATCTGAAAAACAGAATGGATCACGTGAATTGAAGGAAATAGACAAGTTTCAGCTGTTTTTGAGAAACCCTCAAATGAAGTAAACCGAGTTTGGGCCTTTATAAGACCCAAAAGACCCAGAAGACCGAAAAAAAAGCCACTTTGGCCGTTCATCGACAAAAACATCTCTTTTTGGCATTTTCTTTCTCCATTCAATTCATCCTTTGCCCTTTAATCATCATTGAAATTGAATGACCCAAAAATAGTCTCAAGAGAGGAATGAGAATGAGTCACTTGACTCAAAAGAATGACTCATAGGTGGTTCTTTTAAGTTGTTGTCGTTGTTCTACTTTTTTCGTTGAGTTTTACCGTTAATCGTTTGTTATAAACATTTTTATTTGGATTGGGAACGCGAACTTTAACACTTTCTATCATCCATTGCTTGCTGTCGTATGTGCATCAGATACCTTCGCCGTTAATGAGCTCTTCATCAACAGCTAAGAAACATTTGCATATAACTGTCCCAACGTTTACATTTATCGGTTAAATAAACGAAACCGTGTCGCACAGTCCAATCATCATTTTTTCTCACACCCTTCACTATTATTTCTGTCTTTGATGGACTTTATGCAAATCTTCACCATTATCGCGTTCCTCTGCACTCCTCTGCTTCTTATGTGTTCGAAAAAACGGGTTTTTTTTCGTTTTAAGTTTTCATTTTTCTATTTTACAAGTATTTTGTGATAATTACGGTTATCTTTTGAATTTTCTTTTTAGCCTTGCTTACATTGACACTTTTTTTGGTACTATGAGCTTTGGTGGGCCACTTTTTTTTAGCAAAATCATTTTTCCTGGTGTAATTGATGACGCTGATTACGAAAAAGTTATTTTTAAGGCAAGTTAGTAATGGAAAAATGTTCTTTTTTAAAACTCAAGGTGCTATAGTATTGGGAGGGGCAAATTTTTTTTGCCAAATGAGCTGGTTTTTTTGCACCCAGGGATTTTTGACTATAACATTATAGGCGCCTATATTTACCTAGACTTTGGCTCCGTACCTTAGAGGCACGTGGCTTCTAGCTAGACATGGTTTCGAATCGGGGTTTTTTTTCGGATCGCGTCGGATCGAATCTGATCCGAAACCATGTTTACTTCTAGGCCTATCACCTGATCCTCATACGGTTGAAGTGTTTTGTTCCAGCTAGGAACCACGTGCTTCCAGTACGAAACTCCCCTCAGCCGTAGGAGAATCAGGCAATCGCCTAGGAGCCACGTGCTCCTAAAATGTGAAGACAAAGCCTAGGTAAATATAGAGGCCTTGAATGTTGTTAAAAGTTACGAAATGTTGTATGAAACCACCACCAATCGATTCAGCATAGTCAAAAATCCCTGGGTGCAAAAAAACCAGCTCATTTGGCAAAAAAAATTTGCCCCTCCCAATACTATAGCACCTTGAGTTTTAAAAAAGAACATTTTTCCATTACTAACTTGCCTTAAAAATAACTTTTTCGTAATCAGCGTCATCAATTACACCAGGAAAAATGGTTTTGGTGAAAAAAGTGGCCCCCCAAAGCCCATAGTACCGTTTTTTTATGTTTTCCATTTCAGAAAATTGTTGAAGCCGAAGAAGAAGATGGCGGGGAACGGTTGTTGGCAGGAAAATCGGGCAAATCGAAAGAACGGAGAGTTAAAAAGAGTATGGGGAATCAACGTGAGTTTTCGCTTGTTTGTTGATAGCTTATTGTTTTGGATTTTAGCGTTTTAGTTTTAGTTTTAGCGGCAAGAACAAAGAAATCGAAAATGGTGACGGCAAAGGTGATCAAAAGCAAGAAAAAGGTGAACGGATCGAAGGAGCAAAGGAATAGGCCATTTGGTAAGGGTTTTTATTTGCTTAAGGGATTAGAGAATAAAATCCTTCTTTAATTTAGAATTGAAATATAGCTAAACTTTAAAAGAACTGTATTTTGCTTTTTAGGAGGCCAAAATAAGGCGAGAGGGCAAAGATCGAATTTAAAGACGCGAACGCAAGTGGCGAATAAGCCAAGCACCACATCCGCAACACCGATGTCACCGTCACTAAATGAGCCAAAGAAAACGAGTGTCGTGGTTCGGGCTAAGGAATCAGCAATGTCGCCACAGACAGTTTTCGAAATGTTCGAAAATTCACCGTCGCTGGCCAACACTCAACTATTGGTTTGTTTCTTTTTTGGACTAAAACTACTCAGTAAATTTTTATTCATTACCTTTTAATGTGTTCTTTTTAGAATCTGAACGAGCTTTTTCGCCGCAAGGAAGAGGCCTTGGAAAAGGAAAAACTGCAGGTTTGATTGTTTTTAGAACTTCCGAACTTTGAAAATTTTAGCGCTCAAAAATGATGGAAGAAATCGACGAAATTTATCGATCACCCGAAAGAGACGAAATCAATCTTGTGCCGGATCTGCTCAACAATCCAAACTTGTATTGTAAGTTTAATTGTGTTTTTTTTGTTAAAATCTTGCTTCTTTTAGCTCCAGTCAAAGCCAACCCGGAGAAAGTACTTTGGAGCCAAGGAATGAAGACATTTGAGTTGCGACTGCTGAATACGAATTATGCTATAAGGGCTTTCAAAGTGAAATTTTAGTTTGGCTTAATGGTCTTGATTTATTGCTTTTAGATGCGCTGCACGGATAACTCGATCTTTCAAATTGATCCCGTTTTTGGATACGTCGAAGGCATCGAAACCAAGAAGCCCTTCATAGTTAAGGTTACCTTTTGATTTGAAGATTTAAAATTTGTAATGTTTAGGTCACCGTAAAGAAGCCATTAACAACGCAGCAGTCGATCAAGGTCGAGTCGATCGAGGTTCCTAATCGTTTCTTTAAATCTTTAATTCTTTAATCAAAATTTAGGTGGAAGGCGGAAACGTCGAGCCAGTCATTCCACCATGTGATGCCTTCAAAGCCAAAGACATTCGGGACAGGCAATTCACGGTTTGGGTTTTTCTTTGATATCAAAGCTTAAGCGAATCTTTAGATAGTGCAAGTCATCCCTCCACCACATTCTTAGCCACTCGACGAGAAACCAATGAAGAAACACGAGAGGAATCGACGAATAACAATTTGTTTATGCTCGCTTTTTTAACTTGCGTGAATTAATTAAACGATAAAAAATAACTATAGAATTAGTGTTGACATATACAAAGTTTTACCGATGATACGATTAAATCGAATCTGATCTAATCGTATCATCGGTAAACCCAATTGGAAACTAATCGAAAACTTTAGTCTTTAGAGCGTGAAAAAAAGCCAAACTAAACTCTTGGGCCTTTCCGATGCTGAAACGTCTTATCTTTTTGGCGAGAGTCTCAGTTTTGAAACATTTCAGTAATTCTACGAAGTATTGGGTACAAAATCGCCATACGTTAAGCTAAACTCGTAGAAAAAGTGAAAAAACTTACGATACGGTATCAGTCCCCTCTAGCAAATCCTCTTTTTAAATTCTTGGCTTTCACTTGTCAAATTCTCATGCTTATCCTCAAAATCTGCACAACAAATATACCCAATTCAAAAACATTCACATAATGCAAGTATTTATTTGTACAGCTTGACACAGACAATTACAATAATCAAATGATAAATATAGCGTCGATAAATCGATTGATTTAAGTCTTGTTGATAGCGACTTTCCTCAGAGATTCCTCAGAGACGACGCTGAATGGAGTCGTTTCGTCGACATCCAATTGAAATCCCGGCTCATTTGCTGCTTCTTTCACGCGATGATCGTAATCGGATGTCTAAAAAGATTTCATTTTAAATTTATTTATTATTTAAACCATAAATTTATTCCTTTCTAGATTATTTTATCTAGTCCTATCATTATTTACAAGTCACCAAATCCCAACCGAAATTCGCATCTTTGTCCTGAAAGCTTCGAGCACGTGCAGTGCATAGTCGATGTCTTCTTTCATGTGTAAACCGCCTGGTTGTGGAGCAGAACTAAATAAATGGATGTAAACAAGATTTCAGAAAAAGCAACTTGTAAAACTCGGGCATCTTTTTGAGTGTGTGAATTGTCTGCAGCATTGAGTCGAGTTTTGTGTTTGCCTTTAAAGAAATGCGGAATAGAAGATTAAATGAAAACTTGCATCATTGTACACGTGAGCAATCTCGTTAAGACCAAAAAGCGCATGTTCCATTGGGACAGGCAAAGACTAAAATAAAAATAATAGTGCTTTTAAAAAAAACATTAAAACCTTGCACGCTTTGTCGACTTTGTTGACTTTGTTTCCGACGGCGTTCATGTGAAATTCCAGGCGATTCATCGAGTTTAAAGAGGAAATCGGGTGCTTTGTGCTGGCTGATTCTTGTCTTCGAAGTCGTATTTTCTCATCATCGTCCAATTTGTCGAGTTGCTCCCTCCAATTGTGACGAGACTTATCGATCAAGACACGAATCTAAACATATTAATATGGGTCGCGTCCGTTTCCTTCCTATTTGCGTTGCTATTTTGCAATTATTCGCGTCGCATTTTTCGCCCTTTTTCTCCCTGTTTTTTTTTGTCTGCGGGCTTTTGCCTTCCCTCTTGGGGGACTTTTGTTGTTTCATTTCTGTAGATGATCTTGATCTTGAAGCTCTAGTGGATCCTTGACGTTATCTGTGCTACCCATATACTACATATATTATATGTTGCTCGTGTTGCTTTTTATCGGCCCCTTTCGTGTCATGTGTATGAATTCATGTGTTTTAATCTTAAATCTAGCGCACTTTATCTCAGGACCTGAATGAATAAAGTATCTATATGGTCGCGTCCGTTTCCTTCCTATTTGCGTTGCTATTTTGCAATTATTCGCGTCGCATTTTTCGCCCTTTTTCTCCCTTCCCGAAATTGTTTTTTTTTGGTCTGCGGGCTTTTGCCTTCCCTCTTGGGGGACTTTTGTTGTTTCATTTTTGATGCGCATGCTGTTTTTGTAATGGTTATTGTTGCATTTCGGTTCTGTACTAATAAACAGTAACATTATAAATTCACTTTGCTTTATGCTACCCTTCAGGTTTTAAATCCTGCTTAGATAACTGGTTTTACTAACATTTGTGTCACCATCGACGTAGTATCAATCCGATCCGTACTCTTCTCAAGAGTATTAATCTATTGTTGGATACTACGTGTTCTTGTTACGTTATAAGCGCTTTTGGGGAAACCCTTTTTAACCTTTTGTGCTATTCGGCCATTCTTAAGCAGAATCATCCTCGTGGATAAGGTTAAAGCGGGTCGCACCCCAAACTTATGATTAAAGCTTTACATAAACACGAACCTTTTCCATCCGATAATCGGTTTGTTTCTCGAGTGCATCCAAATTTTTTTGAACTTCGCCGCTCGCCTCAAAAACTTTCTTTTTTTCACGTAACTGGTTCTAAAAATAAGATTTGTTTGAAAATTCATTCAAAACCCAAAAAACCTCAAGCTTATTGATGATTTTGTTCGCTTCCGTGAGATCTGTCATCGTAAATTTTGGGAAATTCGATGGGCGTAAACCTAAAAAGAATGCTACAAGATAACAAAGGATAAAAGATACCAGAAGGGTTGAAGTGCAAAAGAAATGATAATTTTGCGAGCTTTTTCTCTTTAGAACTAGCGATTAAATGGTAATAGAGAATCTCAAGGGCTTTTGAATGGACTAAAGCAATGGTAATTTAATCGCTGGGGATGCAAACTTTTCATTTGGCTCCTTTTCCGTATCAGAAAAAATTCGTTTTAGAATTTGTAGTTTTTTAAATATGCAGCAGTTGGTTTTGTTTGAGTGTTTTGGTGGCTCAAAAAATGAGTCCTTTGCTGATTGTTTGAGTATTTTGATCTAGGTTTACCGTGTCGAGATCGACATGGACACTACAAAATACAAACGTAAACTACAAACGCTTCTAACTTGCTCCAAATCTACCGGATTGACATGATCTATAGCTCAAAAAATAGAGAATCTCAAGGGCTTTTGAATGAACTAAAGCACATCCGAAAATATCAATGCTAAAGAAAGTTACAGTGGTTTGTAGCCTGACTCGATCGTTTCGACTACGCGCGAGTACGGTCCGTTTCGAGTACAAATCACTGTAACTTTCTTTAGCATTGATATTTTTGGATGTGCTTTAGTTCATACGAAAGCTCTTGAGATTCTCTATTTTTAAGCTATAGATCATATCAAGCCGGTAGATTTGAAGCAATTTAGAAGCGTTTGTAGTATGACAGTTCGTCATTTTTGTAGTTTATAGTGTCCATGTCTATGTCGAGGCGATGCAATGTTAGACTGTTTGCATTGGTTGATTGTTTAAAAGATATTCTTATCGAAAAGCTACCGTCTCGTATTTTCAAGAATCAAGAGTTAGTTTCAAGAGCAATAGCCCTAATCAAGAGATTAGGGCTATTGCTTGGCGACTTTACTAGTGAAATACTAGTGGACTACGATAGTTTTTTAAAAGTTTTCTTAATGATTAAGGAAACCGCTTGAGATAAGAGCTCTTCAGAAATGAATATAAAGAATTTGTGTACCGTAATCATTCGTTTTCAATCGCTCAGCCATTATTGGCATTATTGAGTGGCATTATGGCGTTATGGCGTTGTTGAGTGGCACTATGGCATTTTGGCATTATTATTGACATTTAGCATTATTGAGTGAGCCGTGTGATCTCGAAATCAGCGAATTTTTTAGATTTTCTTTGAACTTCTTCCCAAATTTGACACAAAACCTCGAATTTCAAACGAAGTGTCATAAAAATTGTTGACGGCGACTCTGTGAAATCCCTGGAGAGATGTTTAAATCTTTAAAATGATCTCTCGTTTAGCTTTTTGCAAAGGGGGAAAAGTGGGTCGCCTTTTTTGAGTGTGCATGGAAGCGTTCTCCCCATTTTTCCCCCGGCCATGCCCCTCATCTCTTCTTGAAGTCATCGTTTACGCTTTTCACTCGTCCCTTTCCCTTTCGCCTTTTTAGGCAAACGAGAGTTTTTTCTCTTTTTTTTTACTTTTTTTTCATTTTTCTCTTTTCTGCATGAGAACTCCTTCTCCCAAGAGAATTTTCTGTTTTCCGGGGACAATAATTTTGAGACTTCTTCAAGGAAACGTTTTTTCATTTTTTTTTTGATTATAACTAGGAGAATTGAAGAGTTACTTTGAAACAAAATGAGAATAAGTATTGGAAATGATCGAAGAAACAGAGCAGATTTTAGTGTTGAAGCATAATTTCTCGGGCATCTTGTAATGACTAGTGAGATTAGCGTACAGTACGATAGATTAGCGTACAATACGATAGATTAGCGTACAGTACGCGAGATTAGCGTACAAACTTCGAACACTAAAGGACCGGCCAAAAAGTTTGCTATATCGAATTGTTCGTTGTAAAAAAGGTCTTTTTAAGGTAGAAACCCTTGGTTTAGACCAAAAATAGTGTTATATCTGTGTGGTAGCTTTATCTTAGAAATGTGGTTCCTCTTAGGTACAGATTTGGTTCCTTTTTGGTATAGATTTGGTTCCTTATCTCTCTAAATTTGGTTCCTTTTCTCTACAGACAGATTTGATTCCTTTTCTCTACAGATTTGATTCTTTTTCTCTACAGATTTGGTTCTACAGAATTCTACTCTACAGAATTGTTCTTTATATCGAATTGTTTGTTATATCGAATTTTTCGTTGTAACAAAGGTCATTTGAAGGTAAAAACCCTTGGTTTGGACCAAAAATAGTGTTATATCGGTGTTCGTTCTACCAAAGTTCGTTATATCGAAGTTCGACTGTGAGATTAGTCAATTGAACACCTGAGAATCGTGGCTTGATTTAGAGAGATTCAGATTCAAAGAATAGAAAAGGATTACGGTCAAAAAGCGGGATTTGAACCCGTCTAATACCAAAACAGCTTCATTTTCTAATACCCAAATCAGCTCCACATCTACTCGAAACATTGGAGAATCCAAATTTCCATACTGTTTTTCATTTCAAGGTGTTCCAGTTGAACACCGTTTTGAAAAAGAGTGATCTTTTTCAAAACGTTATGCATTTTAGTGAGGTATGTCTCTGCTTTCCCTTGAGCCATTCCTCCTTCCGAGGGCATTTCCGTGAGTGTGTTAGTGAGGAAAGGAAAGCCTGGGAAAGACCCTAGAGCCCCGTTCTTGTTCTTTTTCTCCTTAAAAAAACGAGAGCTCGCAAATGAATGCATGCGAGAAGCGTTCTGGAGAAGAGGACAAGAGGAAGAGGACAAGAAGAAGAGAGTTGAAAAAACGGGAAAGCCTTGAAGAAAAAGGAATGTTGCGATAGGAGAGTAAGAGAGAAAAATGGGAGAGAGTTTTTTTCGTTGAGTGAAAAGATCGAGGCGTTCACGGGGGCTGAAGGGGCCCCGGACTAGGGCCCACATTTGTGTCTCTCTTTTTCTTTCCCTTGTTATTCTTTTTTATTCCTTTCCTTCAGCAATTCTATTGCTTTTCCTTATTTTCTCCATCCTCGTTTCCGCTTTTTTTTATCCCCTTTTTCCCCTTTGCATAGACTAAAGTTGAAACAATTTTTCTCCCCATGTTTCCCACTTTTCTATATTGCTTGCAGAATTTTTGTCTTCTACTTTATCAGCTTATGTTTGTTTCGTTTTAAAGTTTAATAGAAAACTTTAATAAAACGGCTCCCTAGAGGAGCGTTGTCTAGTTGAAGTTTACATTCAAAGAAGCGCTCATATCTCGACACCAGTATGTTTGTTTCTGCGCGCTTTGGTATCAAATTAAAGTAGAGAGAATGGGTGTTTTTTTTGAGATATAACACATATTCTTAGCATTAACCAGCGCTTAGAAAAAATGATTGAAAAAATGATGAAAATTGATGAAAAATCGGCTTTTTTTGCCACTCTCAAAAAAACGCCCAAATCTTGACATCAGTATGTTTGTTTCTGCGTGCTTTGGTATCAAATTAAAGTAGAGAAAATGGGTAATTTTTTGAGATATAGCACATACTTTTAGCATTAACCAGCGCTTAGAAAAATGATTGAAAAAATAATGAAAAATTTTTTTGGTGAAAAAAAACGTTTTTTTTGCCACTTAAATCAGGACTCTAGCTCGGTCATTTCATAAGATTCATTCCTTTATTCTGAAACCAGTCCTTTACAAGCATCGAAGTATTATTGTTTCGGATTATTGTCCTGAGCCGGTATGCCACGCTCCGAGAAAAGTTCCGGCGGTGTCTCTAATCTTTACGGCGGCACCTTTGATCTTTGATCGGCACCTTTGATTCAGTAAAACGTTCATAGTTTTCCCGTGACAGTATTTTTCTTCCAGGAAGCTTCCAATAAAACTTTCTATCGGAACTTTCTGAGGAAAAGTACGCTCCGCAGGAAAACCTTAGACGTTTTACCGAAAAGATCAAAGGTGCCTCCGTAAAGATCAGAGACGCAGCCGAAACTTTTCCCGAGCGTAGCATACGGGCTCTGCTGAAAAAGAAAGTTGGAAGGCATCAACTGAAGGGCATTTGGAAGCATATGTTTCGATAAAATGTCCAAGTAAACATGTTGGTCCATAATTCCATCAATGTGTTTTACCGGAAACATTCCATAGAAATTCGAATAACAACCATCGACAACTGGATCGCCTTGATCGCTGGGTCCCAGGCTGTCATTGATTCTAAAGGATTTTCCAAAAAGTATTGAATTGATCATAGTATGGTCTAGTCGACCGTAGTTGACTATTACTTTATGCTTGAACAATGCTCTGATCAAATCTCCTCAAAGCCAACTGGGCAATTGAACCGAAAGAGTTTTTTATCGCCAAGCTGCTAGTAATTAGTGCTGCTGCTTGTCCACGCAAAGCTGCTGCTCGTCAACGCAAGCTGCTGCTTGTCCACGCAAGCTGCTGCTCGTCAACACAAGCTGCTGCTTGTCCACGCAAGCTGCTGCTCGTCAACGCAAGCTGCTGCTCGTCCACGCAAGCTGCTGCTTGTCCACGCAAGCTGCTGCTTGTCCACACGAGCTGCTGCTTGTCCACACAAGCTGCTGCTCGTCCACACAAGCTGCTGCTTGTCCACACGAGCTGCTGCTTGTCCACACGAGCTGCTGCTTGTCCACACAAGCTGCTGCTCGTCCACACAAGCTGCTGCTTATCCACGCAAAGTACATATAGTTGAAATTGAGCCAAAATGTTTCCCCAAACTTTCAACTACTTTCTATAGTTACAATTCTTACAATTCCCGCTTTTCTTCCCTAAAATTTGTCACCGTCTTTCCCTCTAATCAAATACAATAAAAATTGCGGGATGATTAGTGTGATTTGACAAGAAAATCAAGAAAAAAAAAGAAAAAAAAGGCGTTCCCTTTTGAAAAAAACAAAAGCCGAAAAATTCCTGACACTTTTCTTCAATATTTTTCTTTTTTTTTTTCTTCGGACGACAATACATGCATTTCAATTTCGGAGAGCAAATCGTTGATTCACTTTACATTGTGCGCTTCTTTGTGTGCCCCCTTTTTTTTCCACCCACACTCTTCAGACTTTCTAGAAATATCTTGTTTTGGGTTTTAGGGAAAATCAAGCTAGCTTTAGCTTCAGTTACCGGATTTAGGGGTAGGCTAATTTCCGCAATTTTTTTTTTGCGCAACTGGGTCGTTTGCGCAACTCGCCATAACTTTCTTCTAAGTCAGCCAATCTTTATGATTTTGGTGTTATCTTGTAGAACTCGTTGAGATCTACAAAATGACACCAAAGTCATAAAGATTGG